TGAGAAGACAAAGGAAAATATTATATTGAAATATGCAAAGAGGACTTCTGGCAAAATGGTGGAATAGGAAGATGTACTACACAGACCCTCTACACCTCTACAGTAAGGATGGAGACCAAATGGAACAGACACATGACAATCATGGAACCTTGGCCTTGAGAGGAAAGGTGAGAGAAGTGGACTGAATACTTCCTGGAGAAGAAGCTGAGCAGTGGAAGTGGGTGGTGGAAGGAGGAGACTGACTGCTGCTGTGCCGCTTTGGTGCCTGGGTTCAGGTGGGCTTGGCTTTGTCCCTACAGAACCTGCGGAACCACCAGGCCAGCATTAGTCTAGCGGAAACCCTCCTAGCCAGCCATCCTAACCCTAGCTGCTCTGTGCTCCTAATAATGAAATGGGCAAAGGAGATTAGAAAACCGAAAGGGAAGAACAAACTTGGCATTTCTTAAGGTGAAAGGACTGAAGAAAAACTTCAAGACTACAGAGTTGCAATACTGAAGGATTTTGTGGCTAATGTACTTAACTGCGCAGGAAGCTTAAAAAAGAGATGAAAGTAATATGCCGAGTTACTTTAACCAAAGGAATTGGTCAGTGTTCAAAAATTTGAGGAGGTAGCATATGATTAAGAGCCATTGGTACTGAAAGAGGAAGTCCAAGCTGCACTGAAGACGTTGGTGAAATATAAGGCTTCACAAAATGATAAGAGTTTCAATTGAGGTGTTACAGTGAACAGACATCAACAGTGGATGTGCTCGCCCATCTGTGTCAAGAAATTTGAAAGATAGCTGCCTCGCCAACCAGCTGGGAGAGATCCATATACGTGCCCATTCTGAAGAAATGTGATCCACCAGCTTGCAGAAATTACTGAACAATATCATTAATATCACAGGTAAGTAAAATTTTGCGAAGATAATCCAAAAGTGGTTACAGCAGTACATCCACAGGAAAATGCCAAGAATTCAAGCCTGATTTAGAAGAGGCTATGGAACTATCATTGCCGACATTAGATAGATCTTGGCTAAAAGCAGAGCATTCCAGAAAGATGTTTACCTGTGCTTTATTGACACTGTGTGGATCGTGGCAAACTATGGATAACATTGTGAACCATGGGAATTCCAGAATACTTAATTGTGCTTATGAGGAGTCTGTATATACATGAAGACGCAGTTCATACAGAACAAGGGGCTGCTGCTTGGTTTGAACTCAGGAGATTTAAAAATCAGGGTTGTATCCTTTACCATACTTGCTCAATCTATATGCTGAGCAAATACTTTGAGAAGCTGCACTGCGTAAAGAAGAATGCAGCGTCAAGATTTGAAGAAGACTCATTACCTGTCAAACTTTACTTCCTGAAAGAAAAGTGGATGTAAAGCACTTACTGGTGAAAATCAAAGGTCATTACCTTCAGTATGGATCACATCTCAACATAAAACATTAACAAAAATCCTCACAACTGGACCATTAAGCAACATTACAGTAAACAGAAAATATTCAAATTTCGAACAGTTTATTTTACTTGTATCCACAATCTATGCCCATGATGTATGGCATTGGGCAGATCTGCTGCAAAACCCCAAACTCTTTTTGGTGTTAAAGAGCAAAGATGTAACTTTGAGGACTAAGGTACTCCTGACCCATGCCGTGGTATTTTAGTCACCTCATATGCACATGGAAGCTGCACACTGAATAAGGAAGTCCAAAGAACCGATGCCTTTGAATTATGGTGTTTGCAAGGCATTTTTATGAAGAACAAACAAATCTGTGTTGAATGAAATATAGCAAGTATGCTCCAGAGAGGCAAGGATGTCAAGACTTTACCTCATGTTCTATGGACTTGTTGCCTTGAGTGAAAAGTCCATGGAAGTGGACATGATGCTTGGTACAGAGTCAGGGGTAAGGACGAAGACCTTCAAGGACCCAGATTGATAATGACTGTAATAATGGTCTTACACGTAGCAACGATCATGAAGATGGAGATGCACTGGGCACTATTTTGTTCTCTTGTGTACATAGGATCACTTATGAGTGAGAGGCAACTCACTGGCACACAACAACAGCAATGGATATTGCTTTTTTTTTTTTTTTTTTTTTCCAGAAATACATGGTTGGGTACAAATTAGCTATTCATTATGTTCCACTTACTTTGCAAGTGTGACCACATTGGTGAATTATTGTGCAGCTAAATTTGTCAGAATTTACTGTCGTACTGTTGGTGGCTTTCATGTTGCTGTGATTCTGGAAGCTGTGCCACTGGTATTTTAAATACCAGCAGGATCGCCCATGGTGGACAGGTTTCAACTGAGAAAAAGACTATGAAGAAGGAGAGGCAGCTTCTGAATATTTAGTCACTGAAAACCTTATGAATAGCAGTGGACCACAGTCAGTACCAGAATGTTGAGTATTGCAGCATGATGAAGAACACCAGAATATTATCAGATTTACTGCCAGAAAATGAGCCACTTAAAATATGACCAGGGAAGAGCTATTTCCTCAAAGTAAAGTTAACTGTGATGATGTAAACACAGTAAACTTTTAGGGCCTTCCTTTGCTAATGGGGCACAACTCAAAATGAGAAACAACTGTAAATGTCTACAGATAATAGGAATATGGCAATTACAAAGTATAAATTTAGAAAAGTTGGAAGTTGTCAGAAATGAAAAGGAATGCATAAATATTATCATTAGTAAGTGGAAATGGACTGGTACTGGTTATTTTTAATATGACAGTCTCATGGTTTAATATGCCTGGAATGACAAAGAGGAATGGCGTTGCATTCATCATCAAAAAGAACAGT